TAACGGCATGTTGCTGTTGCTGTCTGGGATTAGTGATTTTCTTAAACCGGATCTCAAAGCACACTTTCCCTCCTGCACTTTCATAATGAATCATTTCAGGATATTCCACTAGATATTCTCGTGATCACGGCAGGCAGGCAAAGTGACATGTAACGGCATGTTGCTGTTGCTGTCTGGGATTAGTGATTTTCTTAAACAGGTTTAGGGAAGAATGCGAGACCAGCCTAATCCTGCCTAACCCAAACGCACTGATTGCGATCAGCACACAGGGAACATATCAACCATGTCATTATACTCTGTCAAACGTGATTATTGACCTTCCTCACATACTTGTGTCCACTTATAAATGGCCTTGCTTCTTTAAGCGGCTGAAATTGCAGCTGTGCCCTGTTTACCTGCACTTAGAAATACTGTGAAGACTGAGTGTGAGGAATTTGAGCAAACCCAACTATGCATTCGACATACTGCACTAATAGTCCATTAAGTAATAATTACTATAATCAACCACAGCTGGACTCAAATGAAGGTGTAGAACCATCTCCAGGATGATCAGAAGAAATGGACAGCCCCTGAGTTAAATATATGAGTGTCACAGCAAAGGGTCTGAATATTTAGGACCATGTGATATTTCAGTTTTTCTTTTTTAATAAATCTGCAAAAATGTCAACAATTCTGTGTTTTTCTGTCAATATGGGGTGCTGTGTGTACATTAATGAGGAAAAAAAATTAACTTAAATGATTTTAGCAAATGGCTGCAATATAACAAAGAGTGAAAAATTTAAGGGGGTCTGAATACTTTCCGTACCCACTGTATATATATAAGACCTTAAATGCACATATCCGTCTGCTCTGTCAATCCAATCAAACGCAGTAATGAGCTGGTAAGTGTGGAAAATTACAACCGAAGATGGAAATCCCCTTCTCCCCTTTATGAATGTTTAAAGTCAACATGAAATCAGAATTGATCCTATTTACTTTCTTAATGTTCCCTGTTTTATAGTCAATGATTTATCATCAGTGCATGTTATTCCAAAGAAGAAAATGTTTGTCTTCGTAATCTTTCAGTGACTTTCAGCTGATCTCACAGGATATTGGTTAACGTTAACCAAAGTTTGTTAATTTTAACCAATAGCTTTAAATAGCAAAGATTATGGCAATAATATTAAAAAAGAAAAAACCTTTTCAAACTATGTAGCATTTCAGAAAAAAAAAAAATAGAATCAATTCCTGATGGATAAAATCAATTTCAGACCTTTTATTCTCCCTGAATATCCAGCCTTACTCAGAAATACATCACAGTAACACAAAGTCACATCTGAAATCTGTGTGTGCAGAGTACATGTGTTGCTCTGCTCTATTTTTATGTTAAATATGAACTTTTTCAGCCTGTTAAAAACATCTGCTCTTTAGAACCAAAAGCACTGAGTCATTGTTTTGTCTCAGTGGAGTAAGTGTCTAATATCTAACACACCTATGCTTCTCAGCTGCCCTTGAGTTAGCTTTGGCAAAGACAAATCAACCAACAACACAAAGTGTCACTCAAAATATGATTATACAGTGTTGAGGAAACAAGGACTTGTTTTAAGACTTCTCCAGCTTGTTTGAAGTTCTTTCCTGATTTTCCTAAATAAACATAAACCTGTTTTACTCTCCTGGTTGAATCTCATGAAGTGCTGCCTCAGACATATAAAAAAAATACACACTTCAGCCTTAAATTTTTATTTATCACAAGAGAGAAGCAATTAATAACTGTCTGTCAAAGTGTGTCCTGCTTTAAATCCAGAGGCAAATCAATGCTTCAGACTGCACAGGTCATTTTTCTTGGTGTAATTGAGTATTTGATGGCATAGTGACTCCATGGCAGTGAGGCATTTCCCTTCAGTAAACTGAACATCCATCATCTAGAGGTCTAGGAAGGAACAATTCAGAACATCTTCACCAGGACACGATGGCCAAGTGAGACGTTCCTTCTCTATACCACTCAATTTTCTCTTGCTGACTGTCTGCACTTTTATTTTCATTTTCTAAATCTCTGTACTTTTGACTCTGCTGGACCTGACCTGCACTTTAAAGTTCCTCCCTTCATGGGTGGAAAAGCACCAGATGGAATTAGTTTAAATCACTTGAACAGGTTGCAACCGCAATGACAAGGACGGTTTCCAGCTCTGCTACCGGTTGTTTTAGAGCTCTTTATTCCTCAGTTCCAGATAAAATCTCTTTTTGTCAATGGTAAGCAGTTCTTGCACAGACAAGCGAGCAGACAACTTGAGGGGTGAGGAAAACTTCAGGTGGATTCTCTTTTTCTCTCCAATCATTCAGTTCAGTGAATTCTAAGAGCTCTATTTTGCTCTTCGTGTTGACACACTCATATATTTACAATGTCCAAATTCTGTGTGTGCATGCCTTTAAAAATGACTGCAGCATGAAATTGGGTTGGCAACTAATCCTGCAAAGTATCTGCAGATATATTCTTACTTTAAATGTGGAATATGTAAACTTGGTACTTATTTAGATGTTATAATACTTTTGTTCTGCTATGGATTGCACAGACAGAACCGATCCAGTACTGTACTGATCCTTGCATCAAACAACAATTGATAGCCTATGAAAACTAAACTGATGTATTTAGTTCTGTTACCACGTAGGCTGATGGGATTAACTGCACAGGGTGTTGCAAACTCCTGCTTTAAACATGGAGACACCTGCTTGGCAAGTCAAGTTATATCAAGCCATGTGAGATTAACTTTTAAAAAGTATTATTTGTGCATTGAATATTAAACCCCTTAAAACAGCCAGAATAACTATCATCTCAATGACAGCAGTGTCTAAAAAGTGTGCCTTTGAACACTTCTGCAGGTTTACTGTAGCAAGAATAGTAAAGACTGAGGCATAGTAATAAAACTCTGGTAAATGTTTGTGTTACTTGACACTGTCAAGCCAGGTTTCATATACCTGCTGTAGGCAATTTACAAATGTGTATGCAATATGAAATTGCAATGACTGTGTGATTTTTTTTGTGGTAATTTTTATTTTTAAAGATCACATTTCACTTTTGTTCAACTCAGTGACATGACACTATTATTATTATTATTATCTATTTCACTTCTCAAAAATACATTAAAGGGTTAGTTCACCCAAAAATGAAAATTAGGCTGCGTTTTACTCACCCCCGAGGCATGCTAGGTGACTTTCTTCTTTCAGACGAATCCAGTCGAAGTTATATTAAAAATTGTCTTTGATCTTTCAAGCTGTTTAATGCCACTCAGCGGGTGTTGCATTGCTTCAGTCCAAAAGAACTTAAATAAAAAGCGCCCATCCATAAAAAAAGTGTCTCACACGGCTCCGGGGAGTGAACAAAGGCCTTCTGTAGCGAATCGATGCGTTTTTGTAAGAAAAATATCCATATTCAAAACGTAATAATCACTTGAATCTATCTTGCGCTCACTTTTGTAAACAGAAGCAGTTCTGGGGGAATGACGTATGAGGTCGGCTTTGCGCATGCGCCGCTCAGAAGTGACGCACGTGGAAGCGCAGCGGAGAGATCAAAACAAAACAACAGTCAAGAAATAGAAGTACAAAACGAGGATTTGTAAAGAAGAATGTCAGAGGATTTCAATATAAGTCAAGAGGAGACTGGTTTTCCTTTGCTAAAGTAAGGAAACTTTGCTTCCTTTGCTCCTGTAAACAAATGTTGGTTTTCACGAGACTCACCGGCGCAACGCTGACCTCATACGTCATGCTCCCGGAACTGCTTCTGCTTCTGCTAACTGTTGGCGCAAGCTACATTAAACTGATTATTACATTTTGAATATGGATATTTTTCTTACAAAAATGCATGGATTCACTACAGAAGGACTTTGTTCACCCCCCGGAGTCGTGTGAGACACTTTTTTTTATGGATGGGCGATTTTTATTTCACTTCTTTTGGACTGAAGCACTGCAACACCCGCTGAGTGCCATTAAACAGCTTGAAAGATCAAAGACAATTTTTAATATAACTCCGACTGGATTCGTCTGAAAGAAGAACGTCATATACACCTAGGATGCTTAAAGGGTGAGTAAAACGCAGCCTGATTTTCATTTTTGGGTGAACTATCCCTTTAAGAAACCCTATTTTATTACAAAAACATAAAATAAAAATCAATAAAACCCTTTTGTGATGAACAATTTTTTTTTTTTTTGTAGGACCAAATATCAAAAATGTCTAGGTGTGGTGTAGCTGTTCAGCAAGAAAATAAGTATCTAAAATTATCCTTGTTCATTAAAACAACAAAGCAGTTGCTGTTATAAAAGATTTTATGTTTTAAAACATTTGTCTGCCAAATCCAAGTCGGTGTGTTACAGCAGTGTATAACAGCAGTTACAAACAGTTTATAACAGCAGTTGCTGTTATAAAAGATATATATATATTTTTTTTTACATTTGTCTGCCAAATCCATGTCAGTGTGGCCTAACCAATATGCAAGTTGCCAAAAATAAATAAATGAAATAAGTAATTGAGAGGACTCCCCAATGGTTGTGCATCTATCGCTCTCTTCCTCTCTCTCTCTCTCTCTCTCTCGCTCTACATATCATAGGCTACATTTTGTCCATGTCATGCAGAGACACGTTTTGTATTTAGTAGTTTTTGCTTAATGGTTACACCCCTTGACATTTTTAGAGCCATACAAAAATAACTTCTATAAAATGGTATAAATAACATTTTTCAAAAAACAGATGAAACTGACACGAATACAAAGATTATAATTCTAAAAAAACTTTACAAATATTTTTTTTACTTAAATTTAAGATCTCAGGCATGCTTATTTATAATTACACAAATGGATGCTAATTACCTACGACTGATCATAAACCGCGCATTAAACGGATGTGCTTTTCATGGCCTAATGTGCAGCACGTGCGCGAAGAAAATCGTGCTAATATCACAGACTAATAAAAACGCTACCTGTTGGCTAAGTAGCAAACAAACAAACCCCTCAATAGCTTTAAAACATCCTTACCTGATGCACTGGCCCGTATGTCCTTCTGAATAGGCAATGAAGTGTTTATATACAAACAAGCGGAAAGCGGAACTAATATAGTTCAAATGAGGCAAGAGTTTGCATCGAATGTCTCAAACGTTACGCCGAATGGCAAACTTTAGCGCGTCTTCTGACCGCTGGAAAAACAAAACACCTGAGGGGCTTCGCCAAGAGCAAAGGAAGGATTTATGGCTTCAATTCAACGTTTAAAACCGGTTCGTTCGAAACTGCTACCAAGCGATATACAAAACGCCGTTATGATGGCATCAAGTAAAAGAAACGAGATTCAAACATCCACTGCTAACTTTGTGCCTCTCCCACAGCGACACAGAATGAAAGAGCGGGTTCTGGTTACCTGACTCTAGTCTCTTCCTGTTTATGAGGCCAGACCCCTTTTTTCTCTCTTAATAAAAACTCCTTGGCTTGTTCATATTTGTTTTTTGGACTTGTTAAAAATTAACTGCTCATGTGGTGTGCAGTTAAGCAACTGTCGAGTGCTGACCCATTTTATCAGCTGAAGAAAGTGGAGCTTCTAATGTCTAACTTACTGTAACGTTATATTATTTTAAATGAACCTGTTAAGAGAGCTGTCATCCAAAAGCTGTCATGATGTGTCTAGACAAGGAGAAGTGGGCCTTTCCTGAAGAACCACAGTGGAAATAATTCTGTTTTTGCATTTTATTTATTTATTCATTTGTCATTTTTATTGTAATAGCACACACTTTTTTTTTTGTCATCTGAACCTCTTTCACCTAACTAACATATTTACTTGAAATCCCCCTGAGATTTTAAAATAAATATTTTAATAATTAAATATTAAATTTTTCTGTAAAAAGTGATACAACATTTTATATTTAATATAAAATATAATATTTCTGTAATATAAAAAGTTCTCTGACAATGGATAGTTGTGACACGCCGGTAAACGAATATTTCAAGTTTTATTTTGATTTTACATTTGTATTCATTTGATATTTTTATGATTTAATTAATTATTAGCTTTCCATTAAACCTGCAGTTCCTTTACAAAACACAGTTTGGGAAACCTTGATGTAATGTAATGTTTAATGCACTTCATGTTGCTAACAACAATGAATGCAATGTATTTTTTTATTCTTTGTATTTTTATGTCAATACAGTACAGTGTTATCCTATTTAAATCAATGTGATAAATGAGAAAGGTCACAAGTATTCTAAAAGTAGTCCGATTATATTACCTATATGTGTAATGTAATGGATTACATTACTAACTATAAGTTTTGTCATCCATCAGTAATGGACCATTTGTGTTTATGTGTGTGTATATATATAAATATATATAAGTGATGTGACATGTGGCCAAGTATGGTGACCCATACTTGGAATTAGTGCTCTGCATTTAACCCATCCAAAGAGCACACACACACACCATGAACACACACCCGGAGCAGTGGGCAGCCATTTATGCTGCGGCGCCCGGGGAGCAGTTGGGGGTTCAGTGCCTTGTTCAAGGGCACCTCAGTCGTGGTATTGAAGGTGGGAGAGAGCGCTGTACATTCACTCCCCCAACCTACAATCCCTGCCGGTACGAGACTCGAACCTGCAACCTTTGGGTTATGAGTCCAACGCTCTAACTTCCCCATATATGTATGTATGTATGTATGTATGTATGTATGTATGTATGTATGTATGCATGCATGTATGCATGTATGCATGTATGTATGTATGTAGACACTCACACACACACACACACGTATGTATGTATGTATGTATGTATGCATGTATGCATGTATGTATGTATGTATGCATGCATGTATGCATGTATGCATGTATGTATGTATGTAGACACTCACACACACACACACACACACAGCTTTTCATTTCACTAGATATTAATGGACTGGAGTGATGTGGATTACTGTGATGTTTTTAGCAGCTGTTTGGACTCTCATTCTGACGGCACCCATTCACTGCAGAGGATCCACTGGTGAGCAAGCGGTGTAATGCTAAATGTGTCCACATCTTTTCCAATGAAGAAACAAACTCATCTACATCTTGGATGGCCTGAGGGTAAGTAAAATCTACATCAAATTTTCTTTTTTGGGCAGACTATTCCTTAAAAGGCCAGATTTTCAGTGTGGTTTCAGAGTTTTAGACTGTATGTTTAATATTCTTGTCTGTTCCAATTCTTTTTTTGTTCCATTTTTAAAAATTTATAAATTATCCATGGCTGTCCAAAATTCCACAGCCATTTTCTTAAAATTGACTTGGCCACTGTCCACATGACATAAATCAGGGTGTGCAAGTTCAGGGCGACCTACTTTGAATCTCTGCTGCAATGCTCTGGAGGATCCCTATTGAGAGTCCTAGATAGGGTGGAACCTGTGATATATGTGTAAGAATTGTGCCACTTCCACAGCATGGCAAGAGTTTTAGCCTCCTGTCATCGATTCAATTCTCCTTCTGTTTTCAGTGTTTATCATCTGATAAAGATTGAATGGAAGGAGGGAAATGAGAGCACAAAGTAGTTAAAGTTGTATGAGAAATAAAAGTGGCTGCTTTCAAATCTACAGGCTGCAAGGAGAAAACAGTTGTAGAACATGAAACACTTTTACACTATAGCACACATATTTTGTTTTATGGTGGGCTGTTTAATTGTTAAAATCCAAGAATTACTTTTGCATTTTTTTAAACACATTTCTTCTGAATAGCCTTTTCCGAGCTAATTTGTGCCAACTTTATTCTGTTTCAAACTCTAGTTGTAAACACAGATACCATCTGGCCACATTGCATTTCCATTTTTATTGTTTCCAAATTTGCCTTCTGTTGTTTTATTAACATTTTACTTTTTTTTTTTTCTTGGAGTAGTCCAACGGGCCAACTATGTGTTGCCACCTAATTGACCCACCAGTTAGTGCAGTAAATTCCAGGGACATGTGCAAATATATGGATGAGTTCAGATGCGCAAATGTGCTTGAGGCTGGAAATTGTGGGCTGCATAAGCACGTTGAATGGAAGGAGGGAAACGAGAGCACAAAGTAGTTAAAGTTGTATGAGAAATAAAAGTGGCTGCTTTCAAATCTACAGGCTGCAAGGAGAAAACAGTTGTAGAACATGAAACACTTTTACACTATAGCACACATATTTTGTTTTATGGTGGGCTGTTTAATTGTTAAAATCCAAGAATTACTTTTGCATTTTTTTAAACACATTTCTTCTGAATAGCCTTTTCCGAGCTAATTTGTGCCAACTTTATTCTGTTTCAAACTCTAGTTGTAAACACAGATACCATTTGGCCACATTGCATTTCCATTTTTATTGTTTCCAAATTTGCCTTCTGTTGTTTTATTAACATTTTACTTTTTTTTTTCTTGGAGTAGTGCAATGGTCCAACGGGCCAACTATGTGTTGCCACCTAATTGACCCACCAGTTAGTGCAGTAAATTCCAGGGACATGTGCAAATATATGGATGAGTTCAGATGCGCAAATGTGCTTGAGGCTGGAAATTGTGGGCTGCATAAGCACAAATCATGTTATTTGGTTGAGATTTTACATTGATAGTCCAGATTTAAATGAATTTGCTTAACATATTCTATTCATGCATTTTTAAAGCATTGCTCTGCTTTGTTTAGCTTGGCTGCTGCTGACCCGAAACGTTGCAATTTTCGCATAGATCGTCCAAGGGATCCGCTGATGTTAAAGTAAGGGAACGTCTCTCTCGTGAGGCATGGTGCCCGAGTTTCCATGGGAACTGCAAATCTACCTCCCGCCCTACATGTAGACCTTGTGATATTTTTTAACAATGTCATGCAGCAGAACTAGCTCACTAAAAGCAGTGAGTTGATCATAGTCCCCTCCTTCTCTCTGTCTTTTATTATATGCATGCGTTTATTCACAGCTTTTCTGTTTTATCTTTTTTTATTTATCCAGCTACATAATACACCCACAGCACATGCAAACACATTAAATATCATACATAAATGTGTATTTATGTCAAAGATCCTATACTTCTATAAGTTCTTTAAACTGCAAGGCTCTAAACAGCAGTAAATATTGATGATAATGTATTTATCTGATGCTTTATAATGCATAAAGCTTTGGTCGATTCATATGTTAATACTTGTGGTACTGTTATTTTTTAACTCTATAATAATGAGCAACTTTGAAGTACTATACCTTAATGAGATATTTTTTACATGATCTGACCTTTAAAAGATATTTTTGTAGCATAAACCTACTAATTAATTTAGATCTTACCACCTGAAGAAACATTTTTTAATCTGGTTATATTACATTTTTACATGCACACCAAAAAGTAATGCAGATTTTTTTTGTGTGTGAAAATTGCAGCCATTTAATGTTTCCTCTTCCTCTCATCTTTTCCCAGCATCCTTTGTTTGCTCTTTCCTCTTACTGTTTTTTTGCTCAATTTAATCTATAATTCCCTCTCAGACCTTTATTCTATAATCGACTCTTAAAGGGTTAGTTCACCCAAAAATGAAAATTAGCTTGTGTTTTACTTACCCTCGAAGCATCCTAGGTCTTCTTTCAGAGTTATATTAAAAATTGTCCTGGCTATTCCAAGCTCTATCATTGCAGTCAGCGGGTGTTGCAGTTGAACAGTCCACAAGTCGTCAAATAAAGCTTGCGCATTCATAAAAAAATGTGCCGCAGACGGCTCCAGGGGATGAATAAAGGCCCCTTGTAGCGAATCCATGAGTTTTAGTAAGAAAAATATCCATATTTCAAACGTAATAAACACTTTTCTCTCACTTCCGTTATCTGTCATACGCGGATCCATTCCGGCTGAAGGCGTATGACGTATGCGCAGCGCGCGCCTCTGAGATATGCTAGTCTCATGAGTTTGTTTAATAGGAGCAAAGGAAGCAAAGTTTCCTTACTTTAGCAAAGAAAAACCAGTCTCCTCTTGGTTTATATCGAAATTCTCCGACATTTTTCTTTGCAAATCTTCGGTTTGTACTTCTAATTCGGGACCGGTGTTTTGTTTTGTTCTCTCTCCGCATTCGTCACTAATCACGCAATGACTCCCATGCGTTTACACGCGTCTTACGTCATCCACCGGAACTGCTTCAGTGTATGACAGTCAGCGGAAGTGAGAGAAAAGTGTTTATTACATTTGAAATATGGATATTTTTCTTACAAAAAATCATGGATTCGCTAGAGGGGGCCCTTATTCATCCCCAGTCTGCGGCACGTTTTATTATGAATGCGCGAGCTTTATTTGACGACTTGTGGACTGTTCAACTGCAACACCCGCTGACTGCAATGATAGAGCTTGGAATAGCCAGGACAATTTTTAATATAACTCCGACTGGATTCGTCTGAAAGAAGAAAGT